GTGATCCACCCGCCTCAACCTCCCAAAGTGCTGGGATTACAGGCGTGAGCCACTGTGCCTGGCCATATTTTTGCTTTTTTGGAGACACGGTCTCACTCTGTCACCACAGGCTGGAGTGCAGTGGCATGATCTCAGCTCACTGCAACCTCTGTCTCCTAGATTCAAGCGATTCTTGTGCCTCAGCCTCCCGAGTAGCTGGGATTACAGGTACACGCCACTACACCCAGCTCATTTTTTTTGTATTTTTAGTAGAGATGGGGTTTCACCATGTTGGCCAGGCTGATCTCGAACTCCAGACCTCAAATGATCTGCCCGCCTCAGCCTCCCAAAGTGCTGGAATTATAGGCGTGAGCCACTACGCCTGGCCTAAGCCACTTTTTTTCAATCTGAAATATGAATAATTTCAAACATAAACTTATTTATTTATTTATTTATTTATTTATTTATTTATTTGAGACGAAGTCTTGTTCTGTCACCCAGAATGGAGTGGAATGGCGTGATGGCAGCTCACTAGAACCTCCACCTCCCAGATTCAAGTGATTCTTCTGCCTCAGCCTCCCAAGTAGCTGGGACTACAGGCATGAGCCACCACACCCGGCTCATTTTTGTATTTTTAGTAGAGATGGGGTTTCACCATGTTGGCCAGGCTGGGTCTCAAACCCCTGACCTCAAGTGATCCACCTGCCTGGGCCTCCCAAAGTGCTGGGATTACACGTGTGAGCCACTGTGCCTGGCCTCAAACATAAATTTAAAATGGCCCCACTCTTACCCACTACCTAGGTTTAGAAGATGCTACTAAACTAAAGCCCCGCTCCTCCCCTTTCCCTGCTGTCCCTCCCTGGAGGGAATCTTCTTGAAGTTCAGGAGCATCACTGCCAAGCAAGTTTCCATTTTTTCTCTTCATTCAACAGATATTTGTTGAGGATTTTCTATACACACCTGGCACTGTTCAGGTGCTAAAGTATGGCACTGAAAAACATAAGCGAAATCCCAGGAAATATTGAATACCTCTACTACTTATGCAAGTGTGTTGTGCATGTTTAAGTATTACATAAGACTGGGCGTGGTGGCTCACGCCTGTAATCCCAGCACTTTGGGAGGCCAAGGTGGGAGGATTGCCTGAGCCCAGGAGTTTGAGACCAGCCTGGGCCACATGGCAAAAACCTGCCGCTACAAAAAATACAAAAATTACCCGGGTGTGATGGTGTGTGCCTGTAGTTCCAGTTACTTGGGAGGCTGAGGTAGGAGAATTGCTTGAGCCTGGGAGGTGAAGATTGCACTGAGCTGAGATTGTACCATTGCACTCCAGCCTGGCCAGCAGGAGTAAAACCCTGTCTCAGAAAAAAAAGAACATGTGCCTACAACTAGGTGTTGCCAAAGTGATTACACCAACTGGAGAGACCAGCAAACCAGTTTTCACTTCCCAAAGATCTTGTGGCTCTTTAATTTTTTTTTTTTTTTTTTTTTTTTGAGACGGAGTCTTGCTCTGTCGCCCAGACTGGAGTGCAGTGGTGCGATCTCAGCTCACTGCAAGCTCCGCCCCCCGGGTTCACACCATTCTCCTGCCTCAGCCTCCCAAGTAACTGGGACTACAGGCGCCCGCCACCGCGCCCGGCTAGTTTTTTGTATTTTTTAGTAGAGACGGGGTTTCACCGTGTCAGCCAGGATGGTCTCGATCTCCTGACCTCGTGAGCCGCCCGTCTCGGCCTCCCAAAGTACTGGGATTACAGGCTTGAGCCACCATGCCCGGCCAATACATGTTCTTTAAGTGTTGGATACATGTATATGATCACATGTTCACATCTGGCTGCTACAAGCCAGTCTTGTACATGTAATTTTTAGTCTCTACTGGAGAGTTTGTTTCACCTTTCTTATATATTGGCCATTTGTGCTATTTCCAAGTTGTCGCTGATTCTAAGACTTTAAACTGGTTTGCAGAGCTGTATCCATTAGCTTTTGCTGCATGACATTCTACCCCAAAATTTAGCAGCTTACGATTCTGCATGTCAGCCACTTGGGTTGGGCTCAGCAGGGAGGTTTTCTGGTCTTGGCTGGGCCCACTCATATGCCTGCAATCAACTAGGGGGCTGGCTGGGAGCTGGCTGTGCAAAAAGGCCTCTAGTGGTTCATCTGTATTCCATGAGGCCTTTCAACCTCCACCAGGCTTTACTGAGCTTGTTCATGTGGTGGTTGAGCATGGTTCTATGAGAATGAGTGGAAATGGCAAGGTCTCTTAAGGCCAAGTTCAAAATCAGCTCAATATCACTTCTGCTGCATTCTGGTGGCCAACACCAGTTACAGGGCCAGCCAGATTCAAGGAGCAAGGAAAGAGACACCTCTCCTTACTGCAAAAAGCTGCAGAGTCACATTTAAAAGAGTGGGCTAGTGCAAGAAGTGAAGGGTTGTGGTCATAATGCAGTCACAAGGCCCTTGATGTCCCAGTCTTTTTTTGGCTAGTCCCCTCCACCCATCAACGATCTCCCCTCCCTTCAGGTATCTGCTAGCCCTCCCCTCTCCATTCCCCTCTCAACTAAGAAAGCCTTCCTAGGCCAGGCATGGTGGCTCACACCTATAATCCCAGCACTTTGGGAGGCTGAGGCAGGCGGATCACCCGAGGTTGGGAGTTCAAGACCAGTCCAACATGGAGAAACCCCATCTCTACTAAAAATACAAAAAAAAATTAGCCAGGCGTGGTGGCAGTCACCTGTAATCCCAGCTACTGGGGAGGTTGAAACAAGAGAATCACATGAACCCAGGAGGTGGAGGTTGCGGTGAGCCGAGATTGTGCCATTGCACTGCAGCCTGGGCAACAAGAGTGAAACTCCATCTCAAAAATAAAAAAATAAAAAAAAATTAAAAAGCCTTCCTGGACTATTCCCACCCATACTTCTACCCCTGCCTAGGACAGCTGCTGCTCCTGAGCCCCCGAGGAGGTGAGGGAGCCCTCTGTCCGCCTGGATGATAGTGAAAGCTGTGTTCCCCTCCCCAGGAGTTCACGATAGGGTTTCTGATCCCCTGTGTCTCCTGTAGCTCGTGTGGGCCACCTCAAGCCAGCTGGGCTGTGGGCGGCACCTGTGCTCTGCAGACCAGGCAGCTATAGAAGCCTTTGTCTGTGCCTACTCCCCCGGGTAAGCCCTGCTACACCCTCTGCTGGGATGTCTGGGAGGCAGGGAGGGGCGCTTTCACTGAGGGTGAGATGCCCCCCCATCCTCCTGAAAGTAAAGTCCGACACCTTCCTCTGCACCCTTGGTGGGAGAAGGGAGGAGAGGAAAGGCAGAGGGTGCTGAAGATTGTGGCCATGCAGAAGGTACTGCTCTGTGGATGCCCCTTCCTGGGTACCAGTCCTGGTATCAGGGAGTTTGTCCAGGATTCGTTTGGAGATCATCTCTTCTCTCCCAGGGAATCTCTCTCTCTCACCCAGCTCCCTAACTCTCTGGCCAGGCCGCAGGAACTGTAGGGGCCAGGGGGGCAGGCAGCAGGGACCCACCACTGCCTTGCCCAAGGCCAGGCCCTCCCACACCCTGTGGTGCCTGCTCATCCTCACAGAGGCAACTGGGAGGTCAACGGAAAGACAATCGTCCCCTATAAGAAGGGCGCCTGGTGTTCGCTCTGCACAGCCAGCGTCTCGGGCTGCTTCAAAGCCTGGGACCATGCAGGGGGGCTCTGTGGTGAGTGCATGAGGGCTCAGTCTGGTGACCCTGGGGTAGGGGTGGCAGCATCCTACTGGGCTGTCCCGGAAGCCCCGACCCTCAGCACCCAGGGAGGCTCCTGCCCGGCCTGCTGGGAGGAGACCCTTTTCTCGGAGTCCCCTCCTCCTCTGACCAGAGGTCCCCAGGAACCCTTGTCGCATGAGCTGCCAGAACCATGGACGTCTCAACATCAGCACCTGCCACTGCCACTGTCCACCTGGCTACACGGGCAGGTACTGCCAAGGTGAGGGCACTGGAACCTGGGTGTGCCCAGCGCTGCTCTCGCGGCAGGTCCTGGGGCTGCTACACTTCCTGAGTGTCAAGGGTGTTAGGGGTGCTGACCGTGTACTCCCTGAGTCTGCCCACTGCATAGCACTGGCTATTTGCCAAACTCTGAGCTGTGCAGGAGATTCACAGTGAAATCAGGTTCAGCCCCTTAGGCTTTGGGAGGAGGACAGAATTAGGATCCAGAAGTGGCTTCTTGCCCCACTGCCCCTCAACCCTAACCCACTCTGTGACTATGGGCAGGTCACCTCCCAAACTCCGATATGCCTCACTCTACAGTGGGAACCAAACCAAAGACACCAGGCATGCCAGCAGTCAGAAGCCTTCGTGGGTTCTGTCTCTGGGAGGGGTATTCTTGCTGTGGTTGGCATTCCCTGGATGTTCGAGGCCTTTGGGGGCAGCATGGGGTCCAGAAGGCTGGGAGCTGAGCCTCTGCCCCACCGCCCTGCCCTGGCAGTGCGGTGCAGCCTGCAGTGTGTGCACGGCTGGTTTCGGGAGGAGGAGTGCTCGTGCGTCTGTGACGTCGGCTACGGGGGAGCCCAGTGTGCCAGTGAGTCCTGCCCCAGGGCCCCCAAAGAGCCAGCCCCTCCCAAGACCCCCTTCAATGGGGCGTCAGCTCCCAGGAGCCTACTATGTACCTCTCTTCCCAACTAATTCGGTGACAACACATTGAGAGCTTGAAACCGGCCACAGCGTGGATATTTACACCAAAGAAATTGGCAAATGCTACAAATCATGGATTTTTTTTTTCTTTTGAGAGAGAGCAAGCTCAGTGTTCCACACTTACCAGCACACTCCTGACCCTCACCACCCACTCTTTTGGAGCAGGTGGCTGGAGGAAGGGGCTTAGCTCCCTGGCAGGGCAGGAAAGGGCAGGGATTCTGAAGTCCGCACACAAACTCAGGCCCCCCTACCCCAGCCAAGGTGCATTTTCCCTTCCACACCTGTGACCTGAGGATCGACGGAGACTGCTTCATGGTGTCCTCAGAGGCAGACACCTATTACAGAGCCAGGATGAAATGCCAGGTGACGGTCACCCCTACCTTCCCAGGGACCCCCCCAGAGTCTCAAGTGAGGGTCTTAATGGAGAGACCCTGGAGTGGGAGATGGTTTCTTCAATGTCTCTGACCTCACCCTGTTCATCAGCAGAAAGCAGGGGTCATGGACTCTGAGGCTCATAGAAACCAGGAAGTCACTTATTGACCTGAGGGGCCAAGGTCAAGGCCAACCTCTATCTAAGGGAGTTTCAGGTTGCCTTGCAGGAGGGAATGCAAGATCAGAGTGGCCAGAGCTCGGGGCTGCTCAATAAAACCAGCAGCTCAGACTTCCACTGGCAGCTCTCAAAACCACAGTTAATTTCTGGGGTTGGCAATCAACTCAGATATGTTGAAGACACTGTGCAGGTGAAACAGAACATCCTCAGGGGCCAGACCTTGCCCAGGCCTGTGGGCTGCCGGTTGGGCCGCTGTGCACAGGGAGAAGAGAAGCAGATGTGAGCAGAGGGGACTCCTGCTCTTGGAAGGGAGGCTGTGCGGGCTGGGGGTGATGACAGCCTGGCCAGCACACACGTGACATCCTCGCCCATGGGCAGGGGTGGCAGGAAGGGGCAGCCTTCCTGGGAGCCCTGCCTGTGTAACCTGGGGTGGGGTTACAGAGGAAAGGTGGGGTGCTGGCCCAGATCAAGAGCCAGAAAGTGCAGGACATCCTCGCCTTCTACCTGGGCCGCCTGGAGACCACCAACGAGGTGACTGACAGTGACTTCGAGACCAGGAACTTCTGGATCGGTGAGTGCCCGGCTGATTGGGGGTGTGGCGAGTAAGGGGTTGTGATGCCCCACCCTGCTGCAGGAACCCTGGGCTGTGGCAGCTGCCAGCAGATGGCGAGGGTGTGGTAAGGGCCTGGAGCCCAGAGCGGGGCCGGCTGCTCACCCCCTTTCCTGGGGAGGGCCCAGGTAGGGAGCACATGGGGGCTGCCAGCACTGGGAGGAGGGGTCAGAAAAGCAGCTGGCAGCAGACTCCAGGGTCTGAGTGGGCCGGGGGACCTCTGGCCGTGGGCCAACCTCGACTATCCCGGCCCAGGGCTCACCTATAAGACCGCCACGGACTCCTTCCGCTGGGTCACAGGGGAGCACCAGGCCTTCACCAGTTTTGCCTTTGGGCAGCCTGACAACCAGGGGTGAGTGTGGGGTGCCTCCCTCCCCTGGGCCTCCCTCTCACTCGGGCCTGCCTGGCAGAGCCCCCAGGCCACACTGAAGAGCCGCCCCCCATCCTGCTGCCTGGCTGGGCCCTGGCTGATGCCTGCCCAGGTGCCAGAGAGTTGTGGGCACAGCTGGTGTGGGCCAGTGCTGTGGTGAGGGAGATGCAAGCCGGAAGGCATGTCACGTGGGAGAGAGGGGCCCAGGAAGCCTCCATCCATCTGTCCATCCCCAGTGTCCCCTGGCTGTGACTCCATCCCTCCAACTCTCATCCACTCACCCCTCCCTCCGCGTGCCCTCTGCCTGCATCAGTTACACTGACGCCAGCATTCCTTAGCTGTCACCCCCCCTGCAGTCATTCACAATACAACCCCGAACCTGTGGACCCACTAGCCATCCTGTACCAAGAACCCTCTGGTCATGTGGCCCCACCCTGCTCTTCAAAGCCCAGGAATGCCCAGGGCCGGGGTGGAGGTGGTCCTGCTGCCAGGCCACCAAGGGCTCCAGTGATTTTAGCCAGCCCTCCTTGCCAGCAGCCGGCCTGTGCCCCTGGCCTATTGCCTGGAGGTAGTCGGCCTTGTTGGGTTCCCAGGTATACCTCTCAAGTGGGCTGTCTATTCCAGTCCACACCGTCCCCACAGGCTGGTGTGGCTGCGTGCTGCCATGAGGTAGGCAGAGCTGCTACCCCAGGAAGGGGCTTCCCTGAGAAGTGGTCTGGGAAGCAGGGATGGGGGCTCGGGGATGGGCCTGGTTCCCAGCAGCCCCATCTGCAGATGGGGGCTCTGGAGCCCCTGAGATGCAGGGTCCTGATGGCTGGAGGGTTTAGGCCTCTCGCGGACCCCTGACTTCACTCTTCCCTCCTGAGCACCACACCCTGGCCTGCAGGTTTGGCAACTGCGTGGAGCTGCAGGCATCAGCTGCCTTCAACTGGAACGACCAGCGCTGCAAAACCCGAAACCGTTACATCTGCCAGTTTGGTGAGGGCCTTCCTGAGGGTCCCCTTCTCTGATCCCTGTCCCTGGGGGTGCTGCTGACCCGGTCCAGCCTGCAAGGGTATCTAGGTGGCAGGTTCAGAGCAAGTCTGGGCACACGGGGCCATGGAGGATGCCCTGCTCAGGGCCTTGTACCTGTGGGCTCCTGAGCCCAGAGGGGCAACGACAGGCCCAGTGTCACACAGCAAGGCCACACAGGCAGGCCTAGAGCTGCAGCTCTGCAGGGAATTTCTCCAAGGACCCTCTCCTCCTGTCATGAAAGCTACTGCCTGGGAACCTGTTGGGTTCCTCGGTGTTCCTGGGAGCCCCATGAGCTATGGTGGAGGCAGAGGTGAAACCTGGCATGGCACCAGCTCCCAGCAGCCCCTGCTAGGAAGGTCGGGAGCATCACAGGAACCACAGCCATGGGCACTTCCAGACTGAGCGCAGCAGGGCCCCCATTTTGGGACTGCCTGGGCTGCCATCGAGCCCTGCTCTCTTCTGCTTCCTTCCAGCCCAGGAGCACATCTCCCGGTGGGGTCCAGGGTCCTGAGGCCTGGCCGCACGGCTCCCTCGCCTGCCCTGGGTGCACCGGCTCTGCTTACCTGTCTGCCCACCTGTCTGGAACAAGGGCCAGGTGAAGACCACATGCCTCACGTCCAAAGAGGTCTTAGACCTTGCACTCTGCCGGAAGTTGGGCAGAGAGAGGCATGGAGGCCAGTGAGGGCCAGGGAGTGAGTGTTAGGCGCTGAAGGAGAAGACACCGCCAGTGGTCCAAAGAGGCTGCTGTCTTCTACCTGGCCCAGGCCCTGTGGGGCAGCGGAGCTTCCCTGTGGCGTGAACCCCACGGGGTATTAAACTAAGTTATGAATCAGCTGAACCTGTGCATGCTTATTTCAAAGGGAAATTCAGATTATCCAGGACGACCCTGGAGAGACCAGAGGGGGCCTGAGGATTCACTGCAGAGGCCTCCATCCACCTATTCCCTTTCCTGGTCGCCTTCATGGTCCAGGCCACTCTCTGGAAGTTCTGGGGCTCCCCAAGAAGAGGAAGACCAGACTCTGCCTCGGGGAGGGGCAGTTCTCATGGCTGGGCCCAGGCAGGCAGGGTATTAATAGAAGCTGCTCTGGATGTCTGGGAGACCACGCGTGTGTCTTGCCCCCACTGGCAGAGTGTCATCGCACCTGGACCGATGGTGGTCGGAATCTGTGCAGTCCCGCTCCCTCACCCAGCTCCTCAAACCTCACTGCACAAGAGGTTATCACTATCCCAGTTTACAGCTGAAGAATTGAAGGCACAGAGAGTTTGACTTGCACAGGATCACACAGCTGGGAGCAAACCCAGTGAATCTGGCTGTTGTTTATTTATTTATTTTTCTTTTTTGAGACAGGGTCTCGCTCTGTCACCCAGGCTGGAGTGCAGGGGTGCAATCAGGGTTCACTGCAGCCTCGACCTCCCAGGCTCAAGCGGTCCTCCTGCCTCAGCCTCCCAAGTAGCTGGGACCACAGGTCCACACTGCCGCGCCACACTAATTTTTGTGTTTTTTGTAGAGACGGGGTGGCACCATGTTGCTCAGGCTGGTCTCGAACTCCTGGGCTCAAGCGATCCGCCATCGTGGACCTCCCAAACCGCTGGGGTTCCAGGCGCACGGCCCCGCGCCGGCCCAGTCTTTCCCTCTCCCACTGCCTCTCAGGGCTTCGCCTGTCTAAGCGGGCGCGGGCAGCTGTGCTGCGTCCCGACTCAGCGCGGACCTAAGCGGGGCGATCACACAGATGCCTCCAGCTCTCTCTACCGTCCCCGAAGGCGCTCAGCCCTCGGGGCCGGGACCGCGGCCGCAGCGTCCGGAGCCGGCCCAGTCTTTCCCTCTCCCACTGCCTCCCAGGGCTTCGCCTGTCTAAGCGGGCGCGGGCAGCTGTGCTGCGTCCCGACT